ATAAAAATGCATAAATAAATAAATACATCAAAAATCCATGTTTGTTGACATACTTTAATCCAAAAACTCTGGATAGATGAAGGTAAAGAGGAAATCTAGAATGGAGAAGGAATACATTGTAGTGTATACATTTCTCCCCCCCGCTCCCACCCCCAGTGGTCATTTTCCTTATGCAAACACCAACCATTTTGGAGGAAAGAACCTAGAAAAAAGAGGGGCTACCAATTAGATCAGACCAGAAAATCAACTCCACATAAAGGCTAAAACTACTTTTATTGAGACTGGCTATAACAGAATCTTGTAAGTCTGATTGTGCTGCATTGCCTCCTTCTTCTTATACCCCTGTGAATTAGAGAGGTGTCTGTCTGAGCCTCTTCTGAATATTTTCTGCTTGTTTTGGACTTAAGATAGGTTTTTCCCCTTGTCACTTCGGTAACAGAGTTTGCATATCTCCATCAAGGTTGTCTTTCTTACTCTCTACAGGGTGAGAGGGTGGTTTAAATTCTGTCTCATTTCCCCAGCCTGTTGTAGGTGACTGGAAGGAATCCACGAGGCTTTGCAGCTCCATGGAGTTTCGACTGCTTAGAAGACGAGTGGGCAACTTTCTTGGTAGGTGTGGCTGGCAGCTTATGCATATGCAATTTTTAAGCATCTTTTTGACCCTTAAACCACCCATGGCCCCTCAAACTCTGGGCCAAAAGTTTTGTACAATATGTTCTGGTGGTCCTAAAAGGGATGTTATCCCAAGCCAAATCCATTCCCATATCAATGTTTCTGTGTGCTCCTGAGATAAGAGGTAAGATGGCCAGGGAGGAGCACCTCTTTGTCATGGTCCCTGGCTGTGAAATACTTTTTTTGGGAAACTTACCTGAAGAAAGTCCTCTTGGAATTTCTAGGAAAAAAATAAAAACTACTGGGAATATTTTTCTTTGTAGAGAGAGGCATCTCAAAATGCTTTGAAAGTGAAGCATTGGTCTGCCATTGCCTTTGTTTTGGCACAATGGGCCATTCATTTGCTGAACGAAATGCTATGTGCATGTAATCTCTGCTTTCCCTTCTCAGCTGAGTTCCCTTGACTGGCATCTAGTTTTTCTCCACAATTACCCCACTCGTTACATATTTGAAGTTGCTGATTGGTCAAATTAGTAAGTGTACAGTTTAAGGAAAAAAATACAATTGGTACTGTTGATTTTGAAGAGTTTGTTCAGAAGGACCTATAACGAAAAGGATGGCATCAAAAAATAATGCTCGGAACTAGTAGTGAAGCTGAGATGTCTGCTGGAGAAGGAGTCAAAATCTACTGGGTCTAAAGTGAGATCTATCCTGTGGGAAGCCAAACAGACAGGAGAAATCAGCTGTCATGCCTGCCATTTTACAATATCAGGAATATCAGGTGGAGAAAAGTGGGTCATATCTTTTAAACACATTCTATGGTAACCATTTACTTGAGCTTTTTTAAAAAGCTATTTTAGTTTCATTAGGTAGCAGTGCCAGCATAGCTGGTGACCATTGTCTGGTTTACCATAAAATGCTTGAGTTAATTGAGTGGGCCATTATTTACAGACTACAGAGAAAGAAGGTGTTTGCTTGGATTTTTCTTACTGCTTGAAACAAAAATGCGACGAAGAAAAACAAGGAAAAGCAGAAGACACCTCCATTTGCCCAAATGATGGCCCATGACCAGGCAATACAAAATCCCACACCTTATATTTAGAAATTCCTTCTACTCACTAGATTTAAATGGCTTTTGATGTTTTTGCTTTTACATGGTAGAAATATGTCCATTTACACAAAACAATTCCTTGTGCATGTTTTGAAAGAAAACAAATCCATTTGCTGAAAGGTCACCCAGGAGATGGATAATTTGTCAATTTGTTTCATGTTTTTGTGTGGTCATGAGCAAAGATAAACATTTTCTTAAAATATTAGCAAAATACCCACAAACATATATTAGTTTTAAATCATCAGTTATGCCATCTTGTGTCAAGCATGCTGTCAAGAAAGATGAGTGCGGCTTTCATCAACCAATTAATTTTCAATCTTTCTGATATAAAATTGGCTCCTCTAACATAGCCAGGAAAATGGTCTTTTTTTGTTGTTCTGTTCCAGAGAGCAATATTGAGTTACAGTGAGTTACCCCAAACAGCTGGAACAAAGATATGTTTGGACTCTTTGGGCTGTTGGAAGATTCTGAAGCACACCTCCTCAGTTACACAGTAATCCAAATGTTACCACCACTCCAGGAGACATTTGTGGAGGTGTAGAAAAGTTCTAATCAAAATGGCCATTTGAATCAACTCAATTGCCAGGCATTTTGCTTTCAAATTGGATGCCTTTTTTTTCCATACACCAGTTGGATCAGAAATGGAGTTTGTTGTTATAGTTGTTTTCCCCTTTAGAAGATACAATCTGCTATGCATAATAGGGGAGAAATAAATAAGACACAGCTGTCATTGATGTTTGAAGATGCAAGCATTGAAAAACACACTTGCATATGAAATTAGACCTTTCATTCTGCAACCTGAAGTCTGTTAGCCAAACATTATGTTTTGCTTTAAAGAGGAGCCATCTCTTCCTTATGGGGTGATCATTTCCACATGTCCTTCCCATTTCACTGCTGTTTTGCAGAAAGTGCTCTGGAATCATGACTCAGAGTTTCCCATTTGCTATAACCTTTTATAGTAGCACCTTCCCAAGAGGCTTAGCAAACTTTGAAGCTGATTTATGGAAGAGGGGAGTGGTGGAGGGTGGAAAATCATGAACAGACTTCTGATAAAATATATAGTCTTTCAGATATCCCACATACAAGATTTTGCTTTAATTTCTTATCTTTCCTAGGGCTTCCTCACAGGAGATCATAAAAAAGTTAAGATCGCAACCACAACAGTACCACCCATTACCACACACTTTTTATATATCTCACGCATGACTTTTTGGCTGCATCCTCTGTGGACACCCCTGCTTGGTCAGTATTTTCAGCAGGACTTGGCATCTTGGTAATGAATCACACACAGTGAAGCCATTTTGATTGGCATACAATTTGCTTATCAGTTTCCACAGTTGCTTGCTGAAAAGGCAAATGTTTACAGAGAAACCACTCAGCATGAACTTTCTGACCTGAGAGGTTTGGGATTTTTTTTTTTTTTTAAACAGAGACTTGGTAGAGTGCCATAAAAATGATGAATGCATCAAGATTGGGTTACTGTAGATATAGGCAAAGAGGTGAATCAATCAGTCCAGATTGCAAAAACATTTCTAAACTGGAGTCTGTGAAAGCTTATATATTTTTAGTGGGCCTGAGATTTGTTCCACAAAGAAATGGCTTTGGAAGGTTGAATACCATCTGATGTACCAAACTCCTAAGTCATATTACAACTGCCATGGGTCTATTGCTGAAATAACTTATTTTAAAAACTTCTATATGCTCAACTAGACCCAAGAGGTTCAACCCTTGCACACATTCCCTGAAATAGAACATGCATGGGATAACTTCTGTGTGAGGCATTCAAACTGAAGTACTGATGTATTAAAAAGAAGAAAAACATCTGGGGGAGATTTAGCAGAACCTCAGCGCTGTTTCTTGGTGCAAGAGGTCAAACTACATGATCCACCATGAAGTGCCAGTGCCAGTTAGATACATAAGAATTGTGAAAGAACACCATTCTACTCTGATTCAAGCACACTACCCAGGAGGAGTGTCCGAGGAGAATCAACTTGGAATATCCAAATTCTGTTCTCAAACACTGAAATAAAGTAAAATTCTGCATGTTTGGTGTTTGACTTTATGTCAAACACCAAAGAATGGTTGATGGACACATCGCATGGTCTGTTTTGTGAAGGGCAAGAGGAATGCTGAGAAGGTGCAATATTAAGCATATACAGTACAATACAATTTAATAGGTATTTTACTTACAAAAGGGATGGCGTTAACCATTTTATTTAGAAAAGATACTAAACTAACTTGATGGCACAAAATCTGCTAATGCAGCAATTGTTCTGCATAGATAATCCTAGACCAGTTGCTTTGAGGGGACAGATGGAGAAATTCTCCTAAATTTTTTGCTCATCAGTTCTCACTCAGTTTGATGAAAGTAGTGTACTTAAAAAACTGTACTTACTTTGAAAAAAAGAATTTTAGTGGAAAAAGTGGTTGTGCTATGGTGATTTTGCACTTATTTAGCTCTGAGGTAGCTAAGGGGTGTGTGTGAATGTCCTGTTTTTCCTAGTAGCACTATCCTTTCCCAGCTATCTGTGCCTCCAGGTTCTCTGTGTCTCCATTAAAGCCCAGGGGATCATGAAGAACTCCTCCCAGCTCTTTTTCAGTCATGGTGGTACTGTCAGAGTCAGCAGCATCTGCAGGGTGTAGCAAGCTCTGCAAACCTGCAGGGGCAGCATCTTGCAAATTGCAATACTGTGACTGCCATCTTGTAAATGTTGACACTCTCTCCCATGGTCACAGCTAAGTGAAGTTTTGTCCTTAAAGAAATTGTTGGAGAACTACTCTTTACCCTGAAGAAATTCCCCTCTGCCCACAAATTTGGTGGGCAATTTTTATTCATACCCTTCTATTATTTCTCTTCTTGCTGATGAAATGATGTAAAAAACATGTCTGGGTCAGCTCAAAATTTGGAAATACTACTCAGACAAGCAGCTTGCCAGGCTCCAAAATCTCCTTAATGAAATTCTGCACAAGGGGCACCAAAATCAATGGGAGAATCATTTGGCACTGTACCATTTCATTCTATGCGCCCCTGCCAAATTCCAGTAGTGTACATCTATATCTTTTCCCTGGGTTTCAAGGAATTAGAGCTGTCAACCTATTTTAGCAGGTTTACAGATTCAAGAAAATTGCCTTTTCTCCTAAATGTTTTGAATTGGCACAGCATTAGTTCGGTCTGCACTCCAGGCTTAAACAAAGTATGGCCTGCAGTGCTTCCTGCCCTGGGAAGGATCTTGGGAAGTGTAGCTTTGAAGGGAAAAAAAGCAATGAAGGTTCTTGGTCAGATCAAATATTTAATATATCAAGACCTTATCAAAACTACAATTCCCAGGATTTCACAGTCTGACATTAAACTGATATAGAATTGATGTACATTTGTAGTATAAAATACATGATTTTTTGACTGAATACTCCTCATACAAAGATTTCTTTCAAGCCTAGATTTTTGAAGAGGTGCTCATGAGAAATGCATTGTGAGTAAGCAAACTTAGCTTGATCCATGAACTTGCAGATATATTTCATAGGTCCAACTCAATGTGATTCTCCATGAAGTTGTCAGTAAAAAAGGTTACATGAAAAAGACTGGTCAGAATGTCTGGATTCTCACTCAGTGGCCTGCTCAGTAGGCATCAGTGGTGAAAAGTTGGGTACTCCTCAGTTCCCTGCCCTTGTTTCTTAAACCTTTTGAGCGGAGCCTTGCATTGGGACTGCTCACAAGACACAAACACTTCATGCAACATGATAGGCTAAGCTGAAGGGTGGATGTTTGAGATTCAGTGCATTCTAGGAACCCAAATGTTTACCTTAGCAAGTTGCATGAACCAAGCCATCCCATGAAGTCTTAAAGGCCATCGATGTTTGAGCCTACCATGGGCTATAAATGCAGCCCACTATCTGCGTGCATGTTGACCCAGGCTTGGGTTTCTGAGTTTTGCACGAAACCAATCAATGAGCAGGTGAAGCCAATAGTTGACAGACCACATCATTCTTCCAGATTGACTGGACATTTTTTAGTAAACAGTGCTAGTGATTAGGTTCACACATTGTGTTCATCATCCCTGTTCCTGTGTTACCTCCAGCAGCTTAGATTTTAGGAAATGGCAGCCCCAAAACACCTGAAATTCCCTTGGTTAGGAAGGATGCACTAATTTGTCAATCAAGATATACAAACTAGAGAATGGTTCATACAACACATGAAGCCAAAACCAAATTATGGCATAGTGTAATGGGCAGATTTTCCTAGATCATCTGAACTGTCATGACTGCTCAGAGATTGAAAGCCAAGTTTATTTTCTCAAAGAATGCTGATGCCAAAGGGTTTGAGAATGGAACCAAAGCATTCAAAGTATTTGCTTAAAGAAGAAATGTATCATACCTTTGTAGGTGTCATTTAAAAAGATGACACGCAACATCCAATCAGTGTTGGCATCATCCATTTCCATGTGTCAAGGCAATATGGGGATTGAATTCAAAAGGAGGAGGAAAGGTAACTGAGACATTGTTTAGGCAGTTTCTGTTCTTAAATGACCAAAATAAAAGGACGGCACAACCTTAACTTGGGCCCACCTCAGGACCTATTAAAAGTTGTGCAACTTTGCAAAAGGATTTGATTTGAACCTCCATTTTTGAGAATTTGCAGCTGTGTCAGATGTGTGTGTGTCTGTGAGAGGACAGCAAACACGTGGGACTGAAAAGAATGAAATCAGGTTCAGCACCATAACAACTTTGATCCCTATCTGAAGTGGCTTCTCTAAGACAACTGTAGGTGTCATAGAAAAATAAACCCTAATGCAATGAATCAAAGAAATGAGAGAAAGATCATGAGTAACAAATGGAGATATGAACGTATGACTGACAGGCCAGAGATAGTACTTGGCCAGGGGCACGGGGAAGACACTCAGCACACTACCAGCTTCCTTGTGGCAGCTGTCAAGGTCTTGACACACTCATAGCACAGAGGAGCTGTCCTCCAGAAAGCTGGTGGGCCTATTCCTTCAATGAGACATAGTTTAATTACATAAATTGGTATTTCCACCAAATTCAGTCCAAAATCAATTCTTTACAGAAGCATCACTTCTTTCCATGTGCCAGAAGCACACAATCCCATAAAACGTCAGGTTTCCAAGTGCACCTTGAAGACTTGAGTAATAAAGCAAACAACCCTATATTGTGTTGTTGTCTTTGCTTCCATGTGAGAGTACATGGCTGGCCATGCAACAGGGTTGTTCCATAAACAGGTTGGCTGCTCCTGCATAATACTGTTGTGTGAGTCTTGAGTGTTTCCACCCAAGGGACTTTTGAACACATCTACTCTTTCAAAGGAGGGAGGGGGTAGGTCCTTAATCTAGGGGTTCTTGCTTTATTCTGATTGTGGTATTGGGCTGTGGTCTCCTGTCCTCACGACACAGCACATATTCACTGAACTGGGAGGAATCCACGCCTCCACCACAGGATGCTGCCACATTAAATCCCTTCTGGAACAACCGTTCAAGAACCTGTTGGAGGTTTTGGAAAAAAAGAGAAATGTTAGTATTAGGACAAGCTTTCACGCAAAACGTGCCCCTGAAAGATCCAAGGACATTCCCCTGACTCCAATAAGTCATATTTTCTGGTAAACAGGCAGAAATATAAAATTGCCACTTCAAGATATTTGGAAGACTTTAATAAATTGCCTGGCCCATGTCCTTTGATAAGTCACAAATGGGAGCCATCTGAAGCTCCTGGAGGAACCCAGAAGTTTGTTTGTTCAGAATTTGTGCTTGATATGCAGAGAATACTGGGTTCAACTGCAACACACTCCAGCTAAAAGGATCCACGTCTAGAATTATAGGTAGTGGGTGATATATTGAAGTTATCATTAATAGTAGACCCTAATGGAGTCATCTACTGCACCTTGTGGGAAATTTTGTTACCAATCCCTTCCCAGGCACAGTTTAAAGTGTTGGTTTTAACCAATGAAGCCCTAAGAAGACTTGACCGCTGTATCTATAAGACCACCTATTTCAACAGGAACCTCTTCAAGATGCCTTCACTTTTCAAGCTCAGCTCGTGAGGCCTTCCACTCTGTTACTCTTAAGTTATGTAATGTGCTCCCTCAGGAATTGTTTTGTACTCTTCTCTTCAGAAATGGAGTCAAGTTCTTCCTCTTCAGCCAGGCCTTCTGAGTGGATTAATAATTGCAACTTTCTTTCCTGGGTTATAGCAGTGTTTTATATTTTGTTGTTAACCACATTGAGAGTTCTATAGGTATAGAGGGTATAAAAACTGAAACAATATGACTTTAATAAATGAGAAATTCCTTTGATAAGGCTCTCAATGGTGACTCCTAATGTTGACTGTATTTAGTATGGTGTTAGAGGCAAAATTACTATGTCTTGCTTAAGGATGGGGGTGCAGGGGAGAAGTGAGAGTTAAGTTCTTTCCAATGAACCTCCCAATTCCTCCTCCATCCCTGTGACTGTCAGTTGTGCTGTTTCTGTAGGTGGGTCTAGTGCTCTTTTCTCTCTCTCTCTCTCTCTCTTTTATTAAAGTTTTTTAAATGGGTGAAATTATCTTTATACATAAGAAAATACAGAAAATGAAACTGAGAAAGGAAAATTAGAAAGTGCAGAAAATAAAAAAGAAAAAGATATTTAAAAGAAAAAACTTCCAATCTTCTTTACAGCACTTACAAACTTAGTATCACTTCTCCCCCTTTAAAATTATATCACATAGTTCACTTCTTTCCATGTCCAACCACTTTCAATTGGCAAGTCCAAAAATAATCAACTCATGCCTGTCCATTTTGAGCAAAAAGTCTATAAAGGGTTTCCAGTATTTTATAGAAGTACTTATTGTCTTATCCCTGATCAAACAAGTCGATTTTATATTCTTTTCTCTTATGCAATATTCTGGCATTATTAATCCTTAACTTGGTGTTAAGACATTGTCGTAAGGCCTGATCTCCTGACTTCTTCCTAACAAGGTGCACAAATGTATTTCTTGGTACATTTCTTTTTATTTCTTGTATTGATCCTGTACACCATGCCCACTTCTGCATCCATGTCTTCTTCCTCCCATTCTAATTTTTTTAAAGGCTTCAGCAACTTTCAGCTTACTATTTTTGTGTGGTTGTTCTGTAGCTACTCTCAATCCCAAGCAAAATTCTTTCTTTTAAATCCAGTAGTGTCACATTATCTAAATCTTTTTCCATCTCTTGGCTTAGTGTTTCTGTGTCACTTATTTGTATTGCAGATTCTTCAAATTTTTTATTCATCTTTTCTTCTATGTTTACAAATTTTTCCTCCATCCTCCCTTCCAATGAGGCTAAATCTCTCTTGACAGATTTAGTCACATTTTTCCCTGAGTCCTTGGACATCCTTTGCAATATCTCTGGTGTAATCCCTTTTTCTGTCATTTGCTCTGTCAAAGATCCTCTCCTCCCTTCTCCCTGAGTCCTTGGACATCCTTTGCAATATCTCTGGTGTAATCCCTTTTTCTGTCATTTGCTCTGTCAAAGATCCTCTCCTCCCTTCTGCAAATTTTGCTGCTTTCTTAGTAGTAGCCATTTCTTTTCTTTAATTTATAATCTAAAAAGGAGAAGTAAAAATAAAAGAAAGCCCCCCCCCCTTCTCTGTATCCTTAACTTTTTGGTTGCATTCAGGATTCTGCAGTTCTATGGTCAGATGAACTTTTGCAACTTTCCCTATCTCTTTGTTTGGCAAAGCCAATCATTTTCTTTGGCAAATCTAAACAGTCCTCTTTCCCATAGAGGTATGGATTATTTATTTATTTAAAAAGTACTTTAAAGTAAATGATTCCAAATTAAATTGTCCCCTTAGTTTGTTTTAAACTTTCTTACTTACAAGTTATCACCATGGCACCTGGTACTGTAAGAATGGGTCAAATGATTCTCCCCACCCCAAGGAGCTAGGAAATTGTGGTAGAAACTGCAACTGCATTAGACTGGTTCTGGAAACTTGCTTGGTCAAGACAACAGCAGCAGTGCTCTTGCAGGAGTCCTCAGAGGTAACAGGAAAAATAAAGTAATAAAAAACTACAACCATGCAAAATTCCTCGATGGCAGAAGCAATGGAAAACCTGTTATGCACTCAACAATGGCAGAACTAGTGAAATGCAGCTTGGAAAACCTGGCTCTTAGTGTAAACTGACCTGTAGTGCGGCACAGCATGAGGACTCCTGAAAGTTGTCAACAGCTTTAAAGATGATTATTTCTGTTTTGCTGTTGTGATTGTTTTTTAATGTATGGTACTCTGAGTCTGTACAGAGTGTGGCAATAAGTAAGTAAGTAAGTAAGTACAGATAGTCCTTGTACAATTGCAATTGAGACTGGAATTTCTGTTGCTACGCACTTAGCAATTGCAGCAGTCTTGGTTGCCGTCATAACCCAAAGACCGTGTGGGTCATTAAGTGAGGACCTTATGTGATTGTGACTGCTGACTTCCTGACTTTCCCACTGACTTTACTGGTGGGAAGCTGGCAGGGAACAACAGAAATCACGATCACATGACTGAGGAGCGCTGTGATGGCTGGAATTCTGAGAACCTGCTGCAAGTCCCCCTTATTCAGTGCAGTTGTAACTTTGAACCATTGCTGGGCAAATGGTTGTAATCCAAGGACTACCTGTAAGAAGCTGGCATAAGACCTGACAAATACTTTAAAAAGCTCCTGGTAAGTGTTACACAGACAGATGCCTCTGTGGGAACCAAGGGTCCAGAATCTCCTGCACCCAAGCCAAAATGGCCATGGAAGGCGAGACCAGAGTCTACAGGGTGGGCCCACTGCAGCCTAAAATGGCAAATATCAGCAGGCAACCAACTTGTCAGTGAAGCATGCCAGATCATATCTGCAGCAAAAACTGTTGGAAGCAAATGGCAAAGACTCCTTTAAGATGTCTCAGCCATGGGTTGTGGATCAGCCAAAGGCAACATCATGAAGACATGGCAGCAAATGAGCAACAACCTAAAGGTTACTTTATATAGTGTTGGGACACTTTTGTTAAAGTAATTTGCCATTCACCTTATTTCCCTGTTATCACATGTGATTTGGTTGGAAAAGGATTTCAATTTAGGTCTTCTGAATTTAGACCACTAGCAAGACTAGATTTACTTTTTCAGTGTTACCTAAGTTTTCTGGACTCATTCAGGGTATAAATTACTCTGCAAAATACTTGGTTCCAAAGATGCTAAAAGGGCCCCGGAGAGGTGGCTAGGAGCTACATGATACATCTTGGTCTTTCAGGATCTCCTAGCATATTATGCAGCGATAATTCTGTAAGTTATTCCTAAATGACTACAGTGTGATTAAAGTCTTGCTTACAGCAAACCTCCCCAGAAAAGCCAAATATTAATCAAACAAACAAGCACTCTGCAGGGCAGTTCAGTACATTATGGAGTAACAATTTGGCTGGTAGTGATATTGATGCAGCCTCTTAAGGAAAAGCAACACTGGGGTTTCATTCATAATAAAATGAGGCTGTAACTCATCATGAATATGCAATGTTGGAAGTGGGGGAAAGATGCAAACTTTTGTGAACATCTTTACTGGTGCACATCTTGTCTTTTAGGGGGTTTTCCTTATAAGCAGTTTTTTTGGGGGGGGAGCAGGTCTGCAATTAATTTGCATGGATTTGTCTTCCTGACGGTGCTCTCAGTTCTCAACACAGCCATGTCCTCAATTTTAGGTTGGACTGGGGACTTGGTCCTAGGCCTTTTGCAATGGCCTCCAAACCTGGAGAAGAGCTGTGTCAGGCAGCAGAGGGCAAGGGGCAATCTCCAGTCTCTCCAGAGGTACCTGCTCAATGCTGCTGAACCACAGGATCTGCTGTTAAATATCTGTTTCAACAGTTGGGTGGGTGTACAGCTTGGAAAGCCTTCTTGGAAGGCTGACCCTTGGCTTCTTCACTTCCTCCCTTGACATCCTCGGTGCCACTTTCCAAGGCTCTGGCCTCTGGAAGAGTTGTATTTTGGCTGCCAGGTGCATCTTGCTAACCAAAAGGAAAAAAACAATGGACTGGCAGCCCCCCCTCCCCATAAGAAAGCAAATGAGAGACATTTCTTCTGTGAGTAAATGAGAAGGCAGCCATGACAAACAGACAGGAGCAGATGCCTTTTGCATAGCTCCCCCATCCTCAAATTGCACAATGGCGCTTGCTCACATTCCCACCCCTTACAACTCCCCTCAATGTTATCTATGGGATGTGTATGTCCTGATTGAGGAAAGCTACAGTGCATTCAGAAAGTATTCAGACCCCCTTCACTTTTTTCAATTTTGTTATGTTGCAGCCTGATACAATGGTTCAAATTCATTTTTTTTCTTATTAATCTACACTCAGTACCCCATAATGACAAAGTGAAAACAGAATCCTGATTGAGGAAAGCTACAGTGCATTCAGAAAGTATTCAGACCCCCTTCACTTTTTTCAATTTTGTTATGTTGCAGCCTGATACAATGGTTCAAATTCATTTTTTTTCTTATTAATCTACACTCAGTACCC